AAAATTTAAATTATTACTAATTTAAGGGTAAGTTTAGTTAGGTCGTAAAAAATAAATTAAGTACACTTTAAGTAGTACTACATCACCAAGTAGGTATATATATATATATATATATATTTATTATTGAGCACTTTAAGAGTCTACATCACCAAGTGGTATATATATATATATATATAGGGATTGTATGCAATGAGATCATTTACCTTTGATACAAGGTGGTCACAATTAGTTACAACCATCCGATGTAAAGTTTAATAGCTTGGATGTGTCAATAAAGTTCAAGAAAATTTCTTTTGAAGTTTTAGCATGGTCAATGACATAATTCCAGCCACTCAATTTCACATCCAATTGTCAAGATTAATTTCTTACCTTGTACCAAACGTAAATGGTCACATTCCATACTTTTCGTATAGCTAAACTTAAAAGTTAAAAAATCTTGCTTTCCCTAAATTAGGATGAACCAAATTTTTACTAGAAATTTGTATTAAAGGGGAGTTGTTTAGCCTAATTACTGAATAATAATTTTTCCCTCGCAAAAAATACATTTTTAGGGAAAAACCATTTTATTAAAATTTTGATTGAGAGGTTGAATATTTTAAAAAATTAAAAAGAAGGGAAAAAATAAGAAAGTTCCTAAATCCCCTTAAAAAAAATCAAAATCTTAAAAAAAATTTATAATTTATATAGTGATATTTTTCAGTTTTTTATACTTTTTCGTTTTTAATAAGAGCGGGGGGAGTTTGTGTAGAATGCGCACCAACTCGATCACGGCAATAGGGTAAGTCCGTGTAAATTGCTCGAGTCGAGCAAGTGCCCAAACCCTGAAAACCGAGTCCATGATTCACGAGACGCGCACAATAATTTTGCACGGTCCAAATTATTAGAGAGAGAAAATTATGATGAGTTGTCGTCTAAGTAAGAAGAGAGAGAAACAGTGGGAATACGAGTCAGTCCTTCAGCTGGAAAGTACGAGAATGTGGCTCCTGAATTTTCTCATGAGTAAAACAATAAATCAACAAAAAAAAAAGAAAAAATTCAAATAATTTCAAAATGCACTCATTCTTTAAGAGGAAGGCTTGTATAAAGTAGAGGTTGTCACTTATACTATTGAAGTAAGGTACACCTTAAAATTACGTAAAAAAGGCAGTTTCGGTACGTTAAAATCTTGCGATGATATGAAAATCTATTGTTATTTTAATTTTGAAATTTAAAGTTCTAAAAATAGTAACAATCACGTAAATTTATAAATACTTGAAAATAGACGGTCCAAATATTGTATTAAAAGATGAATTATTTTTAGGACTAGAATTCTTTTTTTTTTTTCATATCTACGAATCTTGAGGTCAAGATGATCCATTTGAGGCCTTCCAGCATATGAACAACTTTCTCTAGTGGTTTGTTTAAGTACACCTTACTCGTACAGTATAAGGTTGACACCTTATATGAACTTTTTTTTTTTCCGTTAAGAGGCCAATAAGAATGGGAGAGAGATGGAAAGAATTACAGGAAAAAGGATCCTGTAACCCATTTACTATTCTGTCTTGTTCATAGAACATGAATAGGGTAACTCGACATTTATTTTTCCGTACAAAATTACTTTTGGACACTCCTCAACCAGTTAAAGTCAAGACAAACGTTGGACTTCCACCACTCGAATTTGAAATGAATAACCTCTTTTCTTTTTTAGCTGAATTTGAACCCAAAACCTTAAAAATTATTAACCAGCGTTCGAAAGTATTCAGCCATGCCTGATCTGAGTACTCGGTCCGAGTCTGAGTAACTCGGTCCGAGTAGGGCCTAAGTATTGTAGCAGCAGAAAAAAGATCAAAATGAGGTGAAAAAAAAATAGTTTGTGGTTGGGGGGTATTTTCAAAATAATTTAAAAAGATTGAAAAATATAAAAATAAGTATTTATGGCCAAAAAAACTCTTCAATCTTTTCTAAAATGATAGGAAACATAAATAACATATCAAAATAAGTTTTTATATATTTTTTTGAATTTTTTTAATATTCCTGAGTGGTACATCGAACTTGGGGAAGCTCGCAGGTATGTCCGAGTACTCGGGACTCGGACGGAGCAGTCAAAGACTTTTATTAACTATTGAGGGGCTTCAAACTCGGGGCCAATGGACTCGAGCTCCCCTGAGTCACTCGGACCGTCATAGCTCTACAGCCGAGCCCCTGACTTTTCTTTATTCACAAGATTCAAAATCAAAGCCTGAAAAAAATATTAACCATTGGGCAATGCTTCAGGCGAGTGGATTCAAACTCGCACGAGTCACTTTGAACCGTCAAGGCCCAGAGTCACTAGCCCGAGGCATGGGCTTGAGCCCAGGAGTGAACTCTAGGGAACCCATAAATTTAATCTTAGCATTGTTGCTGTTTCTCTAAAGTAAAGAGAAAACATACCCACTTGGTTTCATACATGCCGATGGTGAGATGAATGGGGGATGGGGTTCCATCTCTGAGGGCATAAGCATGGAGCTTCGGCATGTCCGGGAGGTCATCGACGAACATCTCAAGGAAGGACGCATTCAGCAGCTTGTCATTCGATCCATGGCATCCCACCATGGTCATGGCCATGGCCATGAACCACATCATCTTCCCTATAACTATACCCATCCCTACCATAACAAAGCAATCTGGTTCTTGGAATATGAGCTGCAGAAGACAGAGCGCAAAGGAGTTCGGAGAAAGAGAGAGAGAGAGAGAGAGAGAGAGAGAGAGGAGGAGAGTAG